CAGAGGACAGTGAAAGTGCTTGTGGAACAAGAGAGGGGGTGGTGAAGAGGCTAATGCTTGTGTAACTTGGATGATTTCATTCATTTTTATTAAGAAACAATTTCTCCACAGTTTTTGGTTTCAAATGATTCCTCGTTTTTGACACTACTTCTCCAGCCTTTGAAAAGAGACGCTCCTAAATCTCCGATCTCTCTCTCTCTCTCTCTTAAACACTCCAAACACCAAACTAACTGTCTCAGACTAAATAACCACAATCCAAACTCTGCTATCCAAACTATCAAACCTCTATCCACTCTCTCAACTGACCGCTGGAAAATGGAGGGAAAATGCCAATTAATTTTACAAGTTTAACAATAAAACTGAACATTGTTGGAGTTTATAAACTGTTTTGGGGACGATTTGCAGCGACCAACTGACCTGACCTGCATGTTTTAGGGGATGTGGGGGGAACCGGAGCGCCCGGGGAAAACCCACGCAAACACGGGGAGACCATGCAAACTCCACACAGATGGTCTCTGTGAAGACGCAGCGCTAACCGCTGCGCCACCGTGCTGCCCACCATTTTTCTGTTGGGTTGGGAAGATCTATTTTGTCAATCGGGGGAAAAACTGTCTTTTTAAAGACAAAGTCCTGTCTTTAAAACTTTGTTTTGAAATTTAAAGTTTTAAAACTTTAAAACTATAAAGTTTTAGAACTTTTAAAACTTTAAAACTATAAAGTTTTAGAACTTTTAAAACTTTAAAACTATAAAGTTTTAAAACCATAAAATTTTATAACTTTAAAACTATAAAGTTTTAGATAAATACCAAATGAATCTCTTATCCTTCTCACTGTTTGTTTTTCTTTGACTTAAAACCAAGAAATTTTTTTATTCTTTTCCAGATAGTTTTTTTCGGTTTCTTTTTACCATCTATATCCTGAAGATCACTTTCTTCTTGAGTCACGATTTCCTCTATGGTGTCAGAGTCCTTAGAACAACCTGGCTGTGGTTCTGGTTCTGGTCCTGGTCCTGGTCCTGGTCCTGGTTCTTGTTCTGGTTCTGGTTCTTGTTCTGGTTCTTGTTCTGATTCTGGTTCTGGTTCAGGTTCTTGTTCTGGTTTTTGTTCTGGTTCTGGTTCTTGTTCTGGTTTTTGTTCTGGTTCTCGTTCTGGTTCTGGCTCTGGTTCTGGTTCTGGATCTTGTTCTGGTTCTGGTCCTTGTTCTGGTTCTGATTCTGGATCTTGTTCTGGTTCTGGTTCTTGTTCTGATTCTGGTTCTGGTTCAGGTTCTTGTTCTGGTTTTTGTTCTGGTTCTCGTTCTGGTTCTGGTTCTTGTTCTTGTTCTGGTTCTGGCTCTGGTTCTGGATCTTGTTCTGGTCCTTGTTCTGGTTCTGGATCTTGTTCTGGTTCTTGTTCTGATTCTGGTTCAGGTTCTTGTTCTGGTTTTTGTTCTGGTTGTGGTTCTTGTTCTGGTTTTTGTTCTGGTTCTGGTTCTGGTTCTGGTTCAGGTTGTCCAGGTTGTTCCTCGTCTGAATCCATGTTATCATTTGAATCAATAATCGGGTCAACATGGCCGACTGATGTTTGCAGGACAGTGTTTTTCATTTCCAATATGTCGATGAGCTTCTTTTTCTCCTCTGTTCTCTAGGTATAATCTCCTGTCTTCTGTTATTTGCTTCTTCAAGATTTCTGCACTTTGTCTCTCAGCTTTAAGTTCGTCGGTCAGCTCCTTAATTTTTAAGAGTTTTTGTAAATGATCTTCTTTCTCTTGCCTTAGCTCCTCTTGGCATCGCTCCAGGTCTCGTTTCAGGATTGAGGTTTCTTTCTCATGGACCAAAGTCAGATCATGATACGATTTTTTAGATTCCTCCAATTCTCTCTGTAAAAGTTGTTCAGATTCTTGCATTGACTCAAATTTTCCTATCATTTCTACCTTCATCATTTCCATCTCTGTTTTCACAATATCCAGTAATCGCTGCTTCTCACTAATCTTTTCCTCATAAAATGTTTGTGACTTGGTCTCTTCTCTCCTCTTTATCAAGTCAGCGTTATATTTAGCATTGAGCTCCTGGAATGACCTCTGGAGCTCCTTCATTTCTTCTTCCAATGCCTTATTTTTCTCTTTCTCTTCATGCAGTTCGTCCATAAATGCTTCAACAGTGTGAAAGCAGGAGACCCTCACTTGTTCATATTTCTGCTGCATTTCCTCCTTCTCCATATCTTTGATTTCAATCTGAGCCTGAGAAGCTATCACATCAAATTTCAGGACTTCCACGTCTCTGAACTTCTGCAGGCTTTCCAGTTCGGCCTTCGCTCTGCAGGCCTGATCAAAATATCCGACTTTCAGTTCCTCCTGCTTCTTGAGTTGGAACTCCATTTCTTGGAGCTCTTCCTCCAGCTTCTCTCTCACTGCAATCCTTTTGGCCTTTTCTTTGTTCAAAAGGCCGTTCAGTCGATGGATCTCTTTTTCCAAATCATCAGGGTTGGCAGTAGAGCTCCTGCCTTGGGGGTGTTGGTGGTTTCCCCTCCTTGGATTAAATCCCATCATCGTTGATCTTGCTCTTTGCTGAGACATTTTCTCAAACACTATCAATGAAATCGTCGATAAAATATCTTAAAGAGTTTACGAGCGTCTGAACTGGTCAGTAGTATTGCGAGCAATGACAAATATGCAGAATTGTGTTACATACAATTCTGCAGTTGATGACATCACAGACGGCATCGCCAGTGACATCACAGAATCTTCCTTTGCTGGCGGTGTGACATCATTCCACCTCCAAATATCTTGTTTACAGTCAAAATAGTCCATGATTCTCTTGTCTTATGTCAGGGACATCAAACTCATTTCCATTTGGGCCCAGATCAAAAATCTGAATGTTGTGCCAGGTTGCATTGATAAAAACCAATTCAATTGTTAAAATATCAATGAATAGGTGTTTCAGCATTCAATAAGTGTTTAAAATAAAATAATATTGAACATCTTTTCACACTAATCAGTCCGTTTGTGATTGTTCAGACTTTTGCAGCACCACTGTTTGGAGATAAAAATGAACTAAAATAATCAAATGTATCTTTTAAGACTCCCAGTGATCTTGGGGTTTCCCAACAAGACAATGTTGACTGTTTTAACCTTTCACCTCTTCGCCTGCTTTGGTCACATGAGCTGCAGACTAGCAGACAAACTTTAATAAAACTTTCAATGGCGGGTAAGTAGCAGGTTAATGGTGGTGAAACCAAAAACAACTCTGTCTCCACTGTTTGCTGAAAGAACATGGAAGATGGCGAGGAATATTTTAGCAGAGAACATCCATCCTCACTTTTCATCAGTTTGAACCTCTGAGCTGATAAAGGTGTTATTGTTGCTCTGGCAACTAACAACATGCATTAGAAGTCATTTATTGATAGTACGATAATTATTCTTAACCAAATTAAATAACATTTACCTTAGCATGCTAAGTGTATTTCTCGATGCACAAATAGTTGATATTGTTCAGGGATTAAAGGTTTTTTATTGTCATATCAGCCACTGGCCACCAGGGGCTCCCAAAGCGCCCCAGCCTGGCTCCAGGCTGTACGGTGGCCCTGAGGTTCAAATTGAAACGACAATTACAAAAGCTCTATAACATGAACAGAAACACAATGACATTAATGAAAGCGTTTTTATATCACCAAGAACGTTCATGTTGTTAAAAAAACACATTAAAGCCAGAATAACTTCCGATTGAAAGTAAAAACGAGCCGCGGAGCAATGAGCGATTTCTTAGGTCTCCCACTGGGACATACCTGATCCTTTTCATTAACGTTGAATCATTCAGGCATCGAACAGAAACTAAACAATGTGGATGTGCCAAAACTTAATTCAGCTGAACAGAATCAAAATCAAAATTCTTTTTTTTTTTACCTAAAGAGGAACGATCTCGAAATTATGCAGGAAGAATATGAATGTGAATTTAAAGAAATACAGCAGATTAAAAATTGTAGTTCACTAAAAACTATTTAACGGTTCAAATTAAATGTTTATTTCAATATATAAAGTGCAGCTGTAGTAATCAGTTATTGTTTTTACAATAATTTGTAGATTTACGTCACGATTAAACCTCCATTTTCAGAACAGAACCAACAACCTAAATACTCTTTTTATGCTGTTGTTGCAAATGGAAAAAGAATTGATTAATGAAAGTTAAATAGATATGGTTTTCTTTTTCTGTGAAACTTAATAAATAAATGTAGCTGCCATTGAAGTCTAAAAACCAGACCAGCCAAGTTTAGCATTAGACAAATTTGTTCTTCTAATGAGGTTTGAAAAGGACAAAATGTTTCATTACAACTGGATTCTTTACTGTCCACTGATGATTGGCCTGCACTTTAAAACATTTTAACTGATTCAACTGGAATTTAAGACAATTTATATGATTTGTGTTCCGTCTCTAAAGGCCATATTATTTGTTTCAAACATTTTTCTTTGTCAACACTGTAAAACGTAAGAAGTTCACTTTACATAAAAAAAGTTAGGACTAAACAATGTCCTAACTGTCCAATTGCCTCAAAATCTCCAAATAAAGTAGCTCATTCTTTTTAAGGTGTTATTGCTATAAATAACTATGTTTACACCACTCAGATAATGGCAGTAAACTTGAGTGCAGTTAACTCAAAATCATTAGTAAGGTTGACTATAAAATGTCAATTATGGCTACTACAATTTGTGAGTTATGTCAATTAAGCAGTACTCATAAAAATAAGTTATGTTTACACATTTAAGCGTTCACATTACTTGAAAAATATCAGGAAACCGATTGCCTTGATATGTTCAAGTAAGAAGAACCAAAAGTGTTAAGTTATTGAAACAAAGAGCCAACAGACAACAGTTTCAATGGAAACAAATGTTTAATATTTCATCAGTGCATCATGTAAGAAGTACAGTAGCACTAATTCAGGCTGAGTGAAAGAACAGTAACTAAAACTAAAGCTATCAAAGTCACATAAGGAGCAGAATTAAGTGGGACATACTGCAGTGTGGAATTATAAAAATGTAATAAAGATGACCTACAAACCATGTCTTGAAGTCTGTATTCTCATCTCCAAGGATCACAGGAAGGCCACGGAGCACTGCCGTTCGCTTCGAGGTAATATCTTCACTCTGAAAAATCATATCAAACACACATCACACACGGTAAAGAAGAATCAATTAACAGCTCTGCATACACAGTGGGGTTGTGTATTTTGTTCCCAACATGATAATAAAATAATGACTTTGTATCTGAGAAACTCACCTGGGGTCTGACTTGTTGCAGATACATCTGAAGTTTCTGGCCAACACTTCCCCCTTGCTCTTGAAAATCTCAAAGACGTGAGGGGTGTATTTGTCAAGTTCTGTGAAACATTTTGAATCCAGGTTTTTGCTCGACAAGCGACAGAACCCTGCCAGAATCTGAAAGGAACGTATGACAAATTAATATTTAACATATAGAGATGTTGGACCTCTCATGACTACTTTCACTAGCAGGACACTGAAACTAATTCTGTAAGTTAACTAGAGACAAGAGATATTGCAACATATTTTGCTATCTCTGTTGGGCATGCGCCCATAAAAGACCACTCCTTTTTTTAAATATTAATAATAGGCTACCACTTATAGTGAACTTCACAAGGAACAAAGAAACAAGCCTTTCAGTGTGGTCGAAAGTTAGTATTGAAACTCATGACTCCAAGTTCGGGTTACTTGGTGCTGATGAGTATGAAAGGCTTTTTTTAATCCCGCCAACATCTTTATCCTCATCCTTTTTCCTTTTTTTTTTTTGTTTTGCCACTAAATAAACATATTTTCGATTAACGTTTATCCCAGGCATCGCTAAATCATTACACATAAAGTTAACCTCAAAACCTGGACTTACGGATGAATTATACGGCCGAGATAAAAATATAAGTTTGCTAAAAACCAGTGGAACTTACCGACAAAACTTAGCTGCAGCAACCGCCGTCTTGTTGACAGTTTGGCGGTTCTTTCAAACACGTCACTCGTCAGTGGCCAACTGCGCATGTGCGTTCAACGAGAGCTGCCGAATGATGCCGAGTTTTCTGCTGGTTATGCAGATGCGTCTTGCTCACTCATAACTCCAAGTTCGGGTTACTTGGTGCTGATGAGTTTGATAACTTGCCTCAGTAGAAAGTTGTCTTTGCTAAGTTTAGGTTAGTATAGTCAACAGAGTAAGCTAGAATGAGTTAAGGTCACTTTTCTTTTAGAGTAAGATATTACATTTTACAGTGCAGATCCTCTTTAAAACAGAAACTTTTTTTTCACTTTTCTGGAGCTTTTTTTTTTCAACATCCATTTTCGTTCTGTATCCGTGAAATTATCAACTGAAGAATAATCCCACACACAGAAATCAATCTACAGCAAAATAGCTCAGAAAGTGAAGAATCAAAGTGCTTTGATGGCCTAATCAAAGTGCTTTGATGGCCTAATCAAAGTCCAGAACTCACCGTGATTTAAACACTGTGGTGCGAATAAAAATAAACTAAGTTATTTCTGCTGAAAATGATTAAATATTTTTCAGTTTGGCTTCATGTTAGTTTAGTAAATTGTGATATTGTAGACCCTGTCACACTGACATCATGAATTGATTACTTTCCTAAAACTAATAAATCCACAAGTTTAATAATGATAGTAAAAGATGGCAGCAGCTTTAAGCGTAACCTTATAGTCTATTTTAGGGCAGTGGAGTAGAAATAAAAAAGTGTAAAACAGTGAATGTTCAGTTCAGACTCTAATGTATAGAAGCCCTTTTCCGCCACTCTGTTAATAAAATAAAATAAAATTATCTCATTATAATGAGATAGTATCTCAAAATAATGAGATAGTATCTCAAAAATAATGAGATATCTCAATATAATGAGATAGTATCTCAAAATAATGAGATAGTATCTCAATAATGAGATAGTATCTCAAAATAATGAGATAGTATCTCAATATAATGAGATAGTATCTCAAAATAATGAGATGGTATCTCATTATAATGAGATACTATCTCATTATAATGAGATACTATCTCATTATAATGAGATAGTATCTCATTATAATGAGATAGTATGTCAAAATAATGAGATAGTATAATAGTACAATAATGTGAGGATCACTATTAGTCTTATATGCTTCGAGCCAGATCATTTTCCTTGAAAAGTCATCTATGCATCCATTAATACATATCCCATAAGGCTTTAATTTATCATACCCATCGATGTGCTAGACATAGTTTGGTCCCCGACTGAAATATAAGAGTCGTCTCAAGCGATTTTGTGCACGCAGGTCAACCCCGTTGGGATCCAATAGGCGCATCAAAAGACGTAATGTTTCCCTGTCTGTGACTATGCCAGCCATCCAACATTTCTGGTGCATACACCTGTAGCCGTGCTGTCTCCCAGATGCTCAATAAAAGAGGCCACTTCTGCAACATCTGTCTTATTTTTTTTACGCCAAAGGCGATTCTTTTGCAGTCTTCTCTCCAGTGTCCGGAGACTTAATTTGACATTATGGGTTTCTTCCAAAACTCGCAAAATTTCAAGATTAGTAAAACCACTTCTGAAGTATTGTTCAGTGATGTTATCAATATCCATTTCTTTCTATCAAGCTGAACATATTTCAAACTATAGGGCCAACTCAAGTTATCTCATTATAATGAGATACTATCTCATTATAATGAGATACGATCTCATTATAATGAGATACTATCTCATTATTTTTGAAATACTATCTCATTATTTTGAAATACTATCTCATTATTTTGAGATACTTTCTCATTATTATGAGATTATTTTATTTTATTTTTTTAACAGAGTGGCGGAAATGGGCTTCCATACTAATGCTCTAATGCTGAGGTGACTTATTGTCACCTCAGCAGCAAAAGACAAATGTCGTTATGTTCTCCCAATGTGTGAATGTGATTGATTGTAGGTTCCACAGCAAAACTACACAAATAACTTGGAAGTAGCAACAGCTTCGGATGAAAAAAAAACATAAATAAACATGTATAAATAGAGAGCATAAATGTGATTTTGAAGGAACACAGAAAAAAAAATTATTTTGCAAGTATTTTTAATGTAGTTTCTAATGCAAATACCCTTCTACACTTAAAATAAGATGAACTAAGTAAGTTCTCATCAAGTTCTCATAGAAACTTGTTTTAAGTCAATAATTCCTTAATACAGATGAAAAAGAACTAGTCATATTAGCAGATTATTTCACTTATAACATGAAAAAATATCGTGTCATAAGGGAAATAGTCCCATTTGTACTAAGGAATAATTGACCTAAAACAAGCTCCTATTGCTGAAAAGTTGCTTGACAGCTAGTTTTGTTTTATTTCAGGTTTACTAAGATATTTGCCGTAGAAATTAGAACAAAATTGCTTCGTAAGATTTTGTGTCTTAACAGTGAAATAAGGGTTTTAAATGTTTTTTTACAGACAAATATTTGAAGTTTTCTTTGGATTTTCATTCCACTCCAAATAAAATCCACTGTTTAATCTAAAGTTGCAGCTAATGATTATTTCAATAATCAATTAATCTGATTAATCATTATAAATTAAACTTTTCTTTTTATTTTCCAGGAATTATACATCACTGATGAAGAGTGAAAACATGAAAACTAATGAGGTAAGAAATGAAAATGTCACAAATTCTCTGCAATAATAAACTTCTGCTGTAAAGCAGTAGATATTCCGTTAGAAAAACAATTTTTTGCCTACAGAATATGTATTTTACTTCTCTGCAGGATGGCTATGACTCGGACGACTTCATGTGACGCCTGAAAATACAACAGGAAGCTCGGGAAGCTCCCCTGCTGCCATCGCTTTACAGACTTTGAATGAACAAAAATAAAAAAATAAACAAGTCCATTCTGCTTGAGAGCACTTGGAGCAGAAATGACTCAGTTCTCACGACTCAGGAGCCATTTTCAGACTTAAAGGAAGACGGGAGTCGTCTGTGGTGAAGGATACCCAGTCAGCAGATTCAGTTTTTACAGCTATACTAATGATGGCGTCTTTTGTTTCAGTCACTCACTTCTACAGCATTTTGTTGAAGCTGCTCTTGCTTCCTTGCTCAATATGCCAATTTTGTCTGCATGTCAGATTTTAATAAACAGAATTCATTGTATAAATTGAAACGCTATTGCTTGGTAATTTCATTGTAGAGTAATCTGTCAGTCGAAAAATTAATTCTGAAGTAAAAGATTTACTGTTGGACTAATTTATCTCTCCAAATGAAATAACCCGTATAGGCGGACAAAAAAATCCATCCATTTATTGATTAAAAACATATTGGTGTAATCATGTTACAACACAAAGTGCATTTGTATTTTTCTTTCTTTTTGCGGGGGTAGACAAGATCAAATATGAAAAATGCACGCAACGTCAACTAGATAAACTGGAATCTGTCACACACTCAACAATTGCAAAGAAAAATAAAAGATTTCTAGAAAAAATGATCCAAGCTCTTCGTCGTCAACGGAGTTTAAAGGTCCAGGAGGTGGACGGTGATTGGTCAAAAGTAAGCCACCAGCACGCCATGATTGGACCACCTGGAAATGAAGCGCACATCAATTGGCTAGTTGGGGGCTTACTTTGGGTTTATTTTGCTGAAACAGGCAGTGACGGAGCAATGCATCATGGGGGATTAGCTCAAATGGTAGAGCGCTCGCTTAGCATGCGAGAGGTAGCGGGATCGATGCCCGCATCCTCCAATTTTTCTTCACAAGAGCTGTTTTTTTTCTAACCGATCTTCCGATAAATGCCCCTTACCTGTAATCCAACAATGCACAACAAAATATGAAAGGTAATACGAGTGAAAGACAGAAGACGATACGAGCTTCGATTCCTTCGACTACCTCTTTGGGAGGTAAGGAGACTAGACCAGGGATTATGTGGTAATGTTTTGTTTTTGCAGTGAAATGACAAAAATGTTTGCTGCTCAAATGTTTAATTTGAAAACGGCCAATCGGTGCGCGATCCATGTTCAGGCGAGCCAAACACATCCCGAGCTGGTGGGCTTACTTTGGCTTACTTTTGACTAATTACCTTCCACCATCTTATTTCCTTCTCTTAAATATGCCAGTATTATAACTTTCACTCGTATTACTGTTAATATATTATTGTGCATTGTTTAATTACAGGTAAAGCGCATCATTTTAGTTGAATGCACTGCGGTTTTCCCGTCATGAAGCGTTTATTGCCACGGATTTCATGCGGATTTGAAGGAATTACTGGCGAGTGTAGAGAAGTGTCGCTATTTTGACTAATTTTAATAAATGAAAAGTGCAAAAAAATTAGTCATTGAGTATTTAGCACCGACAAATGTCGTTATGTTCTCCCTACCAATGTGTGAATGTGATTGATTGATTGTAGGTTCCACAGCAAAACTACACAACTAGCTTGGGAGTATTTTTTTTAACAGTTTCGGATGAAAAAAGTCAACAAACATCAATGAAAATGCAGGTAAACGAAAAAATAAAGACAAAAACAAAAAACGAAAAGCTGGAGGATGCGGGCATCGATCCCGCTACCTCTCGCATGCTAAGCGAGCGCTCTACCATTTGAGCTAATCCCCATGATGCATTGCGATCACACTGATGTCATTTTTTTCGGTCAGTGACTCCATCATGCTTCAGAATGTGTTTTGTTGTGCTGCTTTTAATTGCCCTGGGCTGGAGTGAGATGCTACTCTTCACATGAACTTTGACCCATTTGGGACTTTATGACTAGTCTTCGCAGGGTCAACCCCAAAAGCTAACATAAGTGCACTTACATGCTTAAACTGTCATAAGTTTGTACTACTATATACATGTATAATCACTTCTACTCTATACTATCAACTTCATAAAACCTGGTACATATATAAACAATATGTTTCAGTGAAAACAATGAAGAGATTGGTCAGTTGATGCCGCAACATAGATTTGATTACAGATCTGCAACACAAAATAGCTCACTTTACAGGTACAGTTCAGAACTCAGTT